GTGTTTCATGGCTTTGCCGAAACCCGATCATGTGGCTGGTGGTTGTAAGCTGTCCCAACCAAGAGCTCCGAAATGACTGCCTGGTGACATTCTGATTTGCTGTGCGTGTTGTTAGCCCAGCATGATGATGCTTGGGGAAACGCTCATTCGAGGCTGCTTCAGGCCTGAAGGTCATATCCACTCCCGTGTCATTTCCGTCCGAGGTCGGCGATGTGACAGCGGACGCCGGTGCGGCATGGGTTCATGGACCCCCGTTCTGCAAGCAGCACCAACTTGTCATCATGATCCGTCATGGACCTCAGCGGTGCAGACCTGAGCGAAGGCACTGACGGCAACCCTTTGCTGCTGGATGGCCTACTTCACAAGGAGGCAGAGTGGGCGCGCGCTGCCGATGTCATGCTGGCTGCTGTTTGACTTGAGGACATCTTACCAAGCAGTGGCCACAACATCTGGCTGCACGGTGCCGCTGGCGGCGACAGCTGCAGCTTCGTCCGCTCTCCGGTGCTCCCTGTGAGAGTCATCCAGCTCCTCTGGATGCGCATCCGGGCTCCAATGTGCCAGGATGATGCCCTCTGGGAGCGGCGACTTGCTCAACTTGGGAGCGCAGCCGGCGTTCCAGGAAAGAGCCTCCAGGAGCTTCTGCAGACTTAAGTGGCTAGGCCGCGGCTCCAGTCATCTCATCTCGCCCTACAGCGTGCTGTCAGGAAGGACTTCGAGACACCGAAGCTACACTGGGGCCACTGAGCGAAGCTGAAGCCAGGCGTCTGCGGCTTCTGCAGCTTTGGTTTGGGACTTCTGCTGATCCTTGTCGTGTGCTTCGCAACCTTTTTGCACGGTAGCAGATCGCGGTCGGTTCTCAAAAGCATTTCAAGCATCGACGAGCAAATTGATGTAACGGCCCGTGCAACGTGTTCAGAACACCCGCTTCCGAGATGCCACCAGAAGCTTTTCAGATCAGACCTCATCTTGCCACATTCGTGTTTGTGGCATGCGGTCGCTCCCCACATTCGTATCTCCATGATCGCAGCTTTGCTGTTGTTGACAAGAGCACATCTCAGCTGAGGAGGAGATTGGCATGCTGGAGTGGGACTCGGAGCATGGATCCATGGGCGACTATCCTGGACCTCATGCTGTCCTGAAAGGCAGCACACCAGCTACGCCAACAGGCCAGGTCATGGACGACATCGAACCCACCTGTGGCCTTTCCAGGCGGTGCAGAGTCCCTCGCAGCACGTCTGGCTGCGGATGCAAAGCGGCGCGGCGTCCAAGCTCCTCGGCAGTCACAGGGGAAGATCGAGATGGGAATGATTGCTGACTGCACCCGATGGTGGTTTGGCTGTGACAGTGAGGTGCGCTTCGGAGAAGAGGTGGTGCATATGTGGGAGGCATCGTCTGTTGATGCAGTCTGCTTCTGCTTGCTGTGCTCCTGCAATGCCACAAAGTGCCTGACAGGATCCAGCAGGTGTTTTGGTACACTGCCGAAGCGGCCTGCGCTGCCGCGCCACATGGGCAGTGCTGACCGCGTCTTTGGGCTCCTTTGCACAACAGTTCACACCAGTCATAACAATTCAAACCGTGGCCTAGACAGCCGTCCATGTTGTAGTCAAAGGCTGTGCAGTGTTCTTTCGCCAGTGCTCTCGTGTAGATGGTCAATCACTCTAGGATCCGGCATTCTGGCAGGTGTGCTGAAAAAGCTGGGGCCAAGTTTCATCGATCCAGCTATGCCAGCGACCGTTCAGCGTGCTCTGTCACGCCTACAGATGTGTGGCCATGCTGCAAGCAGCTGTTGAAGCGGCGACGAGACTTCCCAGCATGCCAAGTATGATAAGGTCATTACAACAAGATCCTTCTCCAGGTTACGGAGAAGGCTCGCTACGGAGAGCATGAATGTGATGTCAGG